CAGGGCCCCTGCACTTCAGGGAGCCCTGTGCCCACGCTTCCTTGCTCCTAGAGGAGGGACGGTGCGGGTGTGGGAGCCTCCGTAGAGGCGGCAGCCCAACAAGGAAACTGTAGACACTACGAGGCTGCGGACGCTCCAGCCACAGCAGCGTCCTCTCCCCGTGAAGCTGCTACGTCTTTATTTATTCAGCGTGCTTTCCTGGCGGGAAGCCTTGGCGAGGCCGCGTTGGGTCTGCATTGGCTGGTTGGTGGTTGTCTTTCTTTGAGACCAATTTATATCTCTATATTCAAGAGAGAAAAGCGACTAGACTTTTCTTTCCTTCCATCCCTCCCTTCCTCCCTCCTCCATCCACAGCCCTCCTCCGGGGCAGGTGCTCCCCTTCCCCTGGGAGGACTAGGGTAGCTTAGCGGACAGGCTTCCCGAGGAGAAGCCCCTGCTCCGACACGTCTCTGAGTGCGGGTCACACGAGTGTTCCTGAATGTGAAGGAGCCTGCTGCGGTCAGTCACCGCCCCGGCTCTCCTCCTCCAGCCAGGCTCTGCTTCACACCCCTTCCCAGCCGGCGGGCCTTCCAGGGTCAGAGGTTAGTTCCCTGAGGAGCCTTGGATTTGAGCAGGCAGGCGGCAGACCTCCCTTAGCGAGCCAAACTGAGCATGGCCTCAGCCCCCGGCCCGCAGAGCAGCGTCGACACGGCCGCCCGAGTCTGGCTGGTGGTCTGGCCACGGGGCTGCATTGTAATAAAAATGTTATTTAATCTCTGTCTCTGTATTTTGATACTTGAATGACCCGCCCCCCCCCCATTTGACTGTACATAGGATTGTTAATGTGTCGGGTGTTGTGGTACAAACATAGCAATCTGCAACAATGTAGACTGACCTCACTACACACGAGAGGTGTGACTGTCCCCAGCTGCCGGCCTGGGTTGTGCTTTTCATAACTGTACGACATAGAGCAGATGGAGTGAATAAATGAGAAGCGACATTGTCATTGAACAGTTTCTGGGAGGGTCCCCGGCAGGGGGACGGCAGCAGGGGTGGGGGGGTGGAGACACGGGCTAGCCGCCGCCCTGATGGGTGGGTCACCAGTGGCCCAGGCTGCTGACTGGGGCGGCCGTGTGGAAGCTTGTGTGTCTAGAACATGCCAGAGGCCCTGCTGTTTGTCTGTCCTTCCTGGGGAACATTGCATTCTGGATCTCACATAGACCACCACGTGCTTGTGGTGCTTGTGGTCCCGACAGCGACACGCTGTGCAGCTCCGTAGGCCTGGACCAAGCATCCACCGACTGAGCAGCGGGGCCACCCAGCTGAGAACAACACAGCTCCCCCTGGAAAGGACCTCGGGCTGGGGCAGTCTCACACACACGTAGCACACGCGTCAGCTGAGTGGCCGTGGTGGTACCTACGTTGGGATGAAGGGGAGGACTTGCATAGACAGAATGGTAACAACGAGCGTCTTCGTGAACCGAGCACCTGTGTTCCAGACCCTGCTAGAAACGGTGTGTGACCCCTCCTCGGTAACCTCCCGCTCCCAGAGAGGTGAGCGCTCAAAGGAAAGCAAGGTTCAGAAGGGCTGGAGCACTGGCCAGGGAGGGAGCACCACAAGTAACTGACGGTGATTACACAGCTCGTGTTAAAGGCGACAACCATGAAGGGAAAAGCTCTGTAATGATTGTACAACTCTTCTTGCTGAGATTGAACTATTCAATGGGATGATCTGTGGATTATGGACCAATAAAACTTCAAACAAAAGCCACCTGGCCAGGGGCAGCAAACAGGACTGTGAGGTTGTCTAGCCCGGGGCGTGCACGCGGACCTCAGACTCCTGCAGGGGCCGGGCCCACACTCCTTGATAAAGAAGGAAATGCCCGATTTTACAGGCATGCAGCAAGGCCGATCGAGGGAAGCCATGTTCCGAGTCATCCAGCAATTGACGGCAGAGAACGGACAGGACACCAGGCTTCACGCCCAGTTGGGTTCAGAATCCACACACATGACAGCTGGAAAACGGGGTTGGCGGGCTCACGTGGTTCCAGACTATAGTGCTCGTCACCCCCTGGGCTCTTCACACCTGGCCAAAAAGGGAGGTCTGGTCACAAGACAGGCAGGTGGTTGCTCTGAGGGACCCAGGCTTGCAGCACACTGCATCACTATAATCCCGTGGGTGGGCCTGGTGGGTGGGGAGACCAATTGAGGGAGGCCACCAGCCCACAAGCAGCACTAAGCCTGGCCAAGAGTAAAGGGATGGGCCCAGAGGATAATGGGTTGGGTCAGCCCCAAGGGAGGAACAATGAGGGTACAGCTGTGTCCGCCCCGCCCCACCCCTGCCCTCTCTACTTTCCCCCCTTCCCCTCTGACTCACCCAGCTCAGGATCTGGGGACAGGGAGAGGCACCAGGAACAAATGGTGTCCCTGCCCCAGTGCCCTCAGTTAAGAGTGGGGTCTGCTCTCCCAAGCCCTCCTCCTCTCTCCCTCCTCAGGGACCATCTCTGTCACACCCCACATCGGGCCAATGTGTCCCTTCATGGTGCTCTGCAGTCCAGCTGAGGCATCACTACTGTGGGCTCCCAGGAGCACGGCCTTTGCAAAGGTAAGCACACTCCAGAGCCACTTAGAACGCCCAGCGTCCAGCCCCTGTCTAAGCCAGCAGGCAGCCCATGCAGACTGGCATTTCAGCCCGTGGCTCCGCCAGCATCACATGCCAGGGAGCTAGCTCATGGTTCTGTGACTGCTACTGTCAGGACTCCGCTGTCAGAAACACTGTTCTCAGCCAGCAAATCAAGTCCTTAAGTCTGATATTAGCCCATATGTCTGATACCAGTCTATAAAGACCTCTTCAGACACAAAACACATGCAATGACGCCAAATCCAGGAAGACCACAGGCCAGTGGGTGGATAGTTTTGAGGGTCCAGTAGCAGTAGGAGCATCTCAGGGCTGGCAGGGGTCTCCGTGGCTCTTCCAGTTCCAGGGCTCTGGCTCCATCATTGTAGACCCATGTAGCTTGTCCACAGGAATGTCTCGCAGACAAGCAGAGAGAGTATATCTGGCCTCCAGTGAGCTATTTAACTCTGCTGTGCCTCCAAATGAGGCACATCCAGCTGCAACCTGATTGACAGGCTAAACTCCACCCCTTCACTCAGTCTCAAGTTGACACCAGATTATATAAGTGCAAGAATTTCCCTAACTTCATCATGTGGCTTGTTATCCAGTAAGTGCCAGGACCTGGGAGATTGCTGTGCCTCCCTATACCAGCACTCATTCCAGGTCGTTCCTGTAGTGAAAGGTAGAAAAATGAAGTAGAATCACAGCTACAAGAAAATGCAAGCTTCTCATTATGTAAGAAAGGCCCTAGATAAACAAGCAGCCCATCTAGCTGAGAAGCAACAAAGCCCACACGGAAGAAGCATGCCAGCCTGTGTGATCACAAGGTGTCGCTAGGATCAGGTATCAGACATCAAAGAACAAAAAAATCGTATTGTAAATGTGGGAGTGCGGAGTGGAGACCCAAACCCCATCTGTAGGCAACTGTACATCCCGTTACAGAAGGGTTGCGGGGAGGAGACGAGCCAGTCAGGGTGCAGTGTAGCACCCAGGACACATACAACTTTCCTCTAGTTCTCTAATGCTCTCCCCGCCCACCACCACCCCATTATCATGATCCCAATTCTACCTTACAAATCAGGCTAGATCAGAGATGTACACTGGTACAGATACGAGCTGGAAACACAGGGAATCCAGGATAAACCCCTCCAGACCAATAATGAGAGTCGCTATACCAGGAGGGGAAGGGGAAGATGGGGGAGAAAGGGGGAACAATCACAAGGATCTACCTATAACCCTCTCCCTGGGGGATGGACAATAGAAAAGGGGGTGAAGGGAGACCTCAGTCAGTGTAAGACAAAAAATAATTTATAAATAATCAAGGATGAGGGAGGGAGGGAGGGGGAAATATGAGCTAATACCAAGGACTCCAGTAGAAGGAAAATGTTTTGAGAATGATGGTGGCAACAGATGTACAAATGTGCTTGACACAATAGATGTATGTATGGATTGTGATAAGACGTGTAAGAGCCCCCAATAAAATGATTTAGAAAAAAAATTCATGATAACAAAGTCCTTTTCCAGTGACAAAACTCCAAATCCTTTTTAAAATAAAAATTAAAAGCAAACATTTGTGCAAAGCAAAGTGCACCATGAAAAAAGAAACCGTTAAAAAGAAAAAAGAAACCGTTGAAAGATGCCCCACCGCTGCGAGTAACAAAACAAGCTGGCAAAAGCCCTGGGTGTAAAGGGCAGTTTAGGTTTCCAGGCAGACCCCGCG